GACCTGGACAGTGTCATTGAAGCGGTATGTGGCTCATGTCACCACTGTTGCGTCTTCAGTCTACATTAGTCCCACCAAACTACATTTCAGACCATTTGGTGCTGATATTATGCGCTGACAGCGCCAGTGAGTTTTTGTTCGTTGAACAGTATCCTCCTTCACCCTAAGTGCTATGATGGAGAGCGAGAAGCATGATGATGTTCAAAATGTCATATTGGCTCTCTGTGCTGAAGTTCGATCTTTGGGTGATGAGGATATCTTCATCTGTAGAGAATCTGGCCCAGGCTTGGTTGCCATAACCAATGGCCTTACACTCAAATGACGTATACGTTTACAGGTTGGAAATGTTGCAAATATTAATAAGAATCCAGTGGCAGAGAAAGCTGTCAAGTAACTGGGCCGCGACTTCACGAAAGTGTCACGACTTTATGCCACACTAAGAGGCGTTCAAGAATATTGGCCTGAATGCATCGTTAACGTTGTTCATTGGCTTGTTTGTGATTGTGCTGTTTATGTTTACATGACTACATTTTGGCGTCACGTGTACTTTTCTGTAATTTTTTGATAACAATTGTTAGAAAAATGTCTTACAAATTGGGCAGTCTAATACGCCATTTGACGTCGCACGTTTGTGTTACACAAGTCTATAGGAGGACCCATAGCTCTTTTGTGTCGATCAAAATCCTAATTTCCAAAAATAACAAATTTAATGACACCAAATATATCAGAATTAACTAAAATACTATCACAAAAACTAAAGACCGGAACAAAAAGGCTATGGACATACAACTACTTTCATGTCCGTCAGTTGTAGCCCTTGTAGCAAGATATGGGACTTTTTCATCATTCGTTTCACAGCTCGTGTCGAATTCCAAATCTCGCAGGAAAACAACCAAAAATACGAGAATGGTCACAAGTAGAGCTATGAACCCGGAGCTACACCCTCTCTCGGACGAAATCTTGTTATTGGGTCGGGTTCAAAGTTCAAATTCCTGGATCTAAACTGTACAGTGTCCTTAATTTGACCCATTGTACGTCAGTTCTTTTCAGCACTGAACAAGAAATTGGGTCGAGGTCGTGTATGTGTCAAGAAAGTCTTGAAATCTACCTATAAAAACAACCATCGTTCAAATCCACGTTAGTTGAATTATTTTCGACTATGTCATCATCAACATGGTCCAATGTACTTGTCCTTGTGTGCAGCACACTGTATGACGCAGAGTTACTGATTCGATTATTTCTCCTGAACTTGAGATTTTTCGAGTACACATTGAATAATGTTTCTGTGTTTGTAACCTCGGAATGAGGGTTTATTGATTCATATAATCATGAATGTTGTTATAATAATAAAAAAAATTATGGTTTTAAAATGATTCATTTTCTCGTTTAAATTCCTACACGTATTCTTTTTACAGACATTGACGTCGCCGATATTACGCCACGTATTAAACCGACGCGGAACTGTCCTTCCTCTGTAAGTCCCACCCTTTTGTAAATTTTTGGGTGGGACGGAGATACCCAATCCATCTCACGTACGATAGGAATGGCCATTTCAATAGTGTCACCAATCTGCTGTGCTACCCGTATGTACGTATGACATGACAATTGCATTCAATTATGTATGTCAGTACGTGTTAACTTTCTTACTCTACAGTCCAACACACGGTATGTAATTTTCTAATGTATTGTTTAAGCCTGGACCATTTTCACACTTTCATGCGCGCCATGTCAAATGTCATCACGAATGTCTAGCACTCCTTATTTGGCATGTTATAAAATTCTGACCAACCACGTAGACTTATACTAGGCGTCGTAGTGACGTCACGATATATAGTGGTTTCACTTATAAATAGAGGGAGCATGATGAGGGAACTGAGGTTTCACGGGCTGTGTGTCTCTAGGCGTGGCTGCAAAGCTAACGCCTGGGAACCAAGTTCTTATCACTACATGTTTTATCATTATCATCGCGATACCTCTACAAATAAATATCCTGATTGTATCACCACCCGGGCACACGAATACCCATAGTCAAGCATAACATTTAAAAAAAGCCTCTTAACACATTTGCACAAAAGGAATAACCATCATGATGTACAACAAAGCAAACAATATTTGTAAAGGGATTCCCCATAATTCTCAACGTAGTGTATGATGGAGTAAAAATTCACATCGGGATATCGTCTGGGAGATCCTGATACACACAAAAATGAGACATTGCGAAAAATAACCTCTCTTTGCGTTTACTCCATCATTTTGGAGAAAAATGTACCCTTGACGCATATAGAGCCTGCACCATTCACCGTGGCGCTTGATACAATCGAAACTATTTCGGATTGCGAACGCTCACGCCGGCTAACCTGAAACAGCCACTGGTTGCGCTAAGTACAATCGAAACCTATTTAGACCTATTTTAAGTTTGTCTAATTTGCATAAGTATTCGTGGTTTACATGTTTTTAATGCTTCCCAATAGTTCTGATTTTTGTTATTTCTGATTAATGAACAATTTGAAGCTTCATAAATATTCAACTAAACAAGCGAGTTAATTATCCGTCTTGTGTGTATTACATATGGTAAAAAATATGTTGTCAAATTTATTTGATTATGAACAAATCTCCATAGCCCATTTTGTACTTGGTCCGCAAGGCGAAAAGCTATAACAAAAGAACATGGTCTATTATGTTTTATCTTGGCAACACTCAAAAGCAGCCATTTATGTTACCCGTGTCAAAAAAATGAAAGACCTACCTGAAACTGATGTCGTACAGTGTTTCAAGCATAGACTGAAAGGAAGAATAAGAGCTGAATATAAGTACCAACTCCTATGTCACTCGCTCAAAGTATTTATCGCCCAGTGGTGCATCAACGATGTCCTAGCTACCATTGATCAAGACGAACTTATAATATCGCAAATTTTGACTTAAATGGACAATAATTTTCAGCTGTTTTTTTAGAATTTTTTAATATATGTAATAAACAATGAGTTTATTTTCATAATAAAATCAGACATTTGATTTGTTCTCGAAATCGTTTTTCTGTATATATTCGATTATAATTCTACTCACCGTTTGTATATTTTGCTATATTTACTCGAATGACTAATGTTTACCTGTACTGTTAATTTATACCTCGTTTTTTTTATATCGATATTTTGTACACGTTATATTCGATTGTGTTTTATACTTACTGATATATGATTTCGTTTGTATTTAAACTAGACAATGTTATCTGATTTTTTTAACCGAGAATAAAATATTCAAAAGTGTATGGACTGTTTTGTGTCACGTGATTTAAGAAATCATTACTACGTAATGATATTACTTATGTATGATGTTATTTCTACTCAGATGACTATTTACCCCTTGTACTCAATGATGGCATGTATTAACATGAGTCACTTGAAAAGCTGTTCAACTCAGTTAATTTTTTTTATATTAATAATATTTAATTAATATTCGAACCCATGTTTTTGTTGGTTCACTTCATGGATTAAGTTTCCCAAATTGGTCACATTCATACTTCAGGGACTCTCGTGAGCATTACAAAACAAATTAATTAACAATTGGTTTTCCTTCTAAGTTGAATAAATGTATATAACTTAAAGCGCGGTGGTCGTCGCGCAGCGCGTGTTCGAATTTCATGTAAATAAACAATGTATTTTACACGCGTTGTATACGTCGTTATGAGTCCCATATCGAACAGGACGCGGTACGACGACTGTCGCGCTTCAAGCAATAAATAAATCTAAAATCTTTAAAACGGGACTTGTTCTATTGGCACGCTTGCAGTGGGTAATTATCATCTATTTTGGGACCCCCTGGGGGTACTTCCATCTGAAGTGGGTAGGGGTGTGTATACACTGACAATGACATGAAATACTACAATTGTCATCGGACGCGGAATAAAAACACCCAGCTCACAACTTTCGCAACCAGTAAGCGCATCGGGACCCCACCCCGAGAATCAATTGTAGGATGAGAACGGAGCTGGTATAATACATTTAATTTAAACAATGTCTAAGTAATAACGCATTTAATATCATTTAGAAATGCATTTTGTATCTGGAATAAGTTTAAGGAGAAAGAAAAAAAAAACATAATGCACAGTCGTTGTCAAATGACAAAAAGATCGGGAGACTATTTAAGAAATTTTTCACTATTGCCGTGAGATGGAAATTATATTTGACGAACAAATATCCTCCTACCACTCCCAGTTACTTTGCTGTCGTTGTCCTGCAGGTAGAAGGCCTCAAGGTAAAACCGTTTTTACGCTCGGGTGCACTTGGATTGTCAAACTGGGTTGGACGCGTCCATCGTTATGACGTCACAGCAAAAATTGGAAGTGCTGAATGCCTTGCCAGGAAGTCGTCATAGACCACTGAATGACCTAGTCCGACCTATGCATGAATTGAGTCACGTTCTCGGATCATGCGTAGCGAGAGTGAAAGTTCATGCACGAACCGGACACGAAACTTTCACGTGTACCCGCGCGGCGCCAAAGAGTCTGGTCAAGCATGGGCCAAACGATTAAAATTAGGTATATTCCCACGACGCGTCGATGCAAAATAATTTTTATTTTTGAAGACTTATTTTTGTTTAAATTATTTCCATGGATTTGTGAACATTACTTAAATTGGCTGAGTTATCTCTGGTGTCATTGTACGTGACATGATATGGCTTTCAGGCAAAGCAACAAACTAGGTTACACCCCTGGGTATTAATGGTCTAACCGGGAATCCTCCCGTCCATGTGACAGTGTATATTGAACATTCTCCCGGCGTTTTTTTGGTTAGGGGGGATCACGCCCCTGAGATCGTGCTTTTTGCGGGCTTTTTTGTCATTAAAATGTTAAAATGTGTATACAAAACCACATGCAATGCCATGCGTTGCCCGACTGCACCCCACCAGTCAGACTCGTGTTCGCTTTGCTCGTGCAGATAGTTAGTACTCACACTTCCAACGTGTCGTCGGTCGCTGTCGATCATCCATATCACAGAAGCAAAATGTCCGGACTAGTCAGTTTCCTGAGTTGCTATATGCTATCTCTCACCTGTGCGTCGTTGGTTTATGCCGGAATACCAGTTAACAGGTTAGTAAAAAATACTCTACAAGACGATAAACTAATCACATCTCCGAGTCCATTTTCAAATCAGTGGGGTATTATCATTTCGGTTGGAGATAAATATCCAGAATGTTTTCGCGATTTGTCCATCTACTCATGATCTAGTGGTAACATCGAAATTAAAAATAAAACGTTTCAAATTATTGAATATTGAATGCGCTTCACAATATCTAGTGTAGGGTTTCGTCAGAATACTGGGCATGTGCAATTAATACGCTCGCCAAGTTTCTGACATTCAATTGTAACCGTGCCATGTTTGAAAGATTATCTACTAGAATATGGTAGTTTTCGAATCGTTGCAGTTTGGCGGCATTAATCCATTGTGACGTAGTGGGTGATGCAATCAGTTTAACGAATCGGATCCGTTTTGTAAGAGGTTCCCGTTTGACAATTCGTCTTCTGTACTGAAGGATATTGTGTAAGGGTATTGTAAGCAAATAAGCAAAAAGGCGTGTACAACGATTGCATTAAATAAAAAAAAAACTTCGTTAGATAAATACGAGGAAAATATCATTTGACAGTTATTTAGACTAGATACCGTCTTCATAGTGTGAAAAACTTCAAATAATAAACATGGAAGGTCAACAACCGCGTATGACAATGGTAACGAAAACGTGACCGTTTGACACGCTGTCGGAATATAACGAGGCAGAACAAAATTGGCCGTTTCTAATGATCTAGTTACGCCTCCTCACGAATTGAGTGCTTGAAATTCAGCCACCCGTGTAAAACAAATTTTTCATTTTCTCTAGAAATGGTGCCACTACTGAAGCTGATGGTTTGACACTACAGCCAGAACAAGACGCTGAAATGGTTTTTAAACCTGTGGATGGTCACATCAAGCTAGGGACGGTCACCTTCACAACGACTGGAGACTTTCAAATCAGAGGCGATCGGGTATGTGACTCCCGTTGAATGTCAACTCAAGTATATAATATATAAAAGTATGACGTCACATCCAAGACCTCGATGGACATGACACCAATATTCATATGATCAAAACTTAAGTTGTTTGGAATTAATATTTCGAATTATTACACGTTTGAAAAATGATTATTCTCATAAAAACGGTGAAATAATGAAAAATATATCTGTATCTAGAGAAACCACAGTTTCAAACCATTTCTCTCTACCAATAAATACTTTCCGTGTACATCACTCTACATACAAGTGTGTGTGGTATAGAGGCTGGAACAACAGACGTGTGTACACAGGGCAACCAAGCAGGCCCGTTCCTACCCACCCCTTTACATATATAAAATGACCAGTTCCTAAATGTTATCCTTTTGAACATTAATACGTGCGTGGCCAAACTGTTCAAACATGACAAGAACCAAGATAAATTCTCAAATCAATATTAGTATAATTGTGCCTGTTTCGAGTATGTTCCAGATCGCTCGGCTCAACACATTAATACATGTGGAGTCTCGAGTTTAGTTGTTGACAAACACCACGTGGACAACAGTAGTTTCTATTCTCAGTACAGTTCTATCTGTCAGTACTAAATGTAGTATATTGATATTTTGTCCAAAATTAAAATTTATATGGAAAACGTTTATTTCTTATTCCCTTTCTTTACTAATAATGTACTTAAGCAATCAACCTGAGGCCAGGATTTTTGTAGCGCCTGGTAAATGCTGCGTATATATTAAACTTTAACACAAAATAGATACATTGTATGTGGAAAAGTTGAATGTACAACATGGCGTTGTTGAGGTAGTTGACACAGGGAGTGTTTTGTACTTTCTGTGTGTACAAGATCTCGGTTATGATTACCATGAGAAAGTTTCTTTGTCATTTTTCCTTTCTTCTCACTGCGTACTAGTATTGTGGGTTTCCCGACACACATGAATGTGGAATGTACGCTTGCTGACGTCACGAGCTATTTTCTTCTAGTAACTGTGATGAAAGGGATCTTTTCAATAAAATGTTGCAATATCAATCCAGCGACAAATCGCGGCTAACCTGCCACTAATTCTTGCAATTGAAAGTCCGTTCATAGTAACATGTTACAGACACCGAACTTAACAACATATACTACATCAAAGTAGTGGGAGTCTGCCACAAAAATTTATAATCATATGTATCAAGCAGAATATATATGACAGTGTCATAGCTTTATTAATGTAGAGGACTACTCATAAATAAACACCCAGAATGTATTTATTCTGCAATGAAATGTATTCCTGGGCAATATAAGGATATAGGATCACCAGCCTTATTTTCGGGATAATGATAGTTGAACTTAGTGGCCATTTCTTCAGTGTTATAAAGATTTTACCATATGTTCCTATAATGGCAATAATATTATGCCGTATCTTAAATTGTCGACTGGTTACAGGATGAAGTACTTTTTGCTCTCCTGAATTAGTTTTAACAAATCAGGGTTTTTAAAATTGACAACAATGCATTTTTTAAACTCCGCGTTCTATGGAATTGTTCTAAATATAGCGATTTTTGAGAAATATTAAGACAAACAGGTTTCTCAAAATACGTCACTGTAACATAAAATAATGCTAATTCATGGTACCATGGGACAATAGCTTTATTATTTTACACAATAAACCAATGAACATAGTAATGTGATTTATGAAAATCTTTTCAAAAATTATAAGTAGACTTAAGTCATGCTTGTGTGGACCAAATATTGATGCGACCTCCCGGTAGAACCAAGCGCGTGTTCGTCTAAACCCTTACATTCAATGTTCCAATAGGCAGCTAACATATTATATACGCAGTCTAGTCACGTGATTTAATTGTTATTTAATTAAATAACTTAATGTTGATGAAATAATAATATCGAACGTTGTGTCTTCTCTGGTATGGACTGACCATTTCTATTTTGTCTCAACAGGGAGATCCTGGTCCAGCTGGAGGGACCGGAAGAAGAGGTGCCCCGGGACTGCAAGGACCAAAGGTAAAGTTTAACCCTAACATACCCAGGATAGTAAAATATAGTAAATGAATGTCGGGGTTTTCATCGACATGCATTTGTTATTCGTTGCAGGGGGAAGCCGGTGAACCTGGAAGTTGTTCGGTCGACCGCCCTCAAACGGTGAGATTTGCGACATCTAATGAAAAGTGCCATACGGATAACACAGGGACGGTGCGACTCCACCATTCAGGTAACTGTCTGTCTGTGCGTCTGTATGTTTCTATCGGTTGCATTCCCATTTTTGCAGTCACATTATATCGTTTCTGATTTTTCTGAGAAATTCTCATTGGCAATTGAAACCATGCAATGTGTGGCACATTGTTTTTTTTCTCTACTATTTAGGGAATATTTTAGAAATATGCACTGGTAACCGATGGCAGCCGTTGAATAGCGGGAAGATAGACAGCGATAGTGTTGGCAACCTTCCCAAAACGTGCCTCGATATACTGTTCAGTGGCAAAGAAAACAAAGGCGATGGCATGTACTGGATAAACCCAACTGACGGGTAAGTAACGCGAGAATTGGAGGAGCGTGATTTCTGATCGAAAAGGACATTATGTTGGTAAAAATAAAAAACACTGAAGTGTTACCCTAATGTTTAAGGCAGTTGACTATAATTAACAAATGCCACCAAATATCCATGACTTAAGTACATTATTTTATGATTCTTTTCACAGTCAAGATAAAAAAGATATATATTTACTTTGATCTACTTTTTGCACAAAAATACACATTTACTTTTTAAATATTCCAAAATGTAAATTCGACAACATCGAATTATTATGACTTTCTTTTATTACGACTGTTTTAATATGTTTTATAAAAAAATGCTTTAAAATCTAACTAGTTCCAAAAAGGCTTATTTTTGCATTTTTTCCTGAATAAGAAAAATAGTTGATAATTCATTCTCTGCGTATTCACAGTGATGACCGACATAACGCCATCCAAGTGTACTGCGATATGACAACCTCTGGAGGTGGCTGGACTTTGTCCGCTAAAGTGACCGACGACTACGCGTGGATATGCCCAGAAAAGAACGGTAAAACGTGTGCGGGATCTGATGTGGATCCACGGGAGGCTAGTTTATTCCATGATATACACGAACGAGATGAAGTGCTGCTAGAGTCGGGTACAGGGGCTGAAACTGGCGTACACTTACAGAATAGTATGATAAGGAGAATATTCGTTGCCGGTGAGCCAGTTTATTTAAGCTTGAATTTAAGTCACGAATTGCATACATATATTTGTTTTCGAAGCATACAGCATAGTATTTGTTGTCAACCATTGTGCCTGCGCATGTACTTACTAGTACGTACCAACAATTGCAAGCGCGCGCGTTATTTCATCAAAACGAACACTCTGCTCCAATGAGCAAAGCAATTTACACAACACCTGGGCAATAAGTTGCAGGTAAACCCAAACTAAATACTAGCATGAAACTGTACTGAGAACTATTCATGCATATTCATAACCTGGTGGTCATTTTCGCTATTCCAGGTCGACAACAAGTCCGTTTTACGTTTTACGGTAACGCTGACTGGAGGGCAACCGAGGACGGATATGCCAGTTTTCCAAGGCACAAGGAGAACACGCTGTTTTTGAACAATACATGGGCGGCATATGATAAGCACAGGGCTGACTATACCTGGAATATCATTAGGCACACAAGAAATACGAAATTCACGGGCGGTCTCATATGCTGGGGCATCAACGCTGGTGAGCCATACAGGTAAGCATTGGGGAGGGGTTGTCGTGAGCATAGAAAAAAATGGCGACACTAAGCATGACGTCATATGATGAATTATTTATGAAGACAGATGATGTCACTAAGCATTATATCATGTGATTAATTATTCATAAAGACGTTTGATGCAGATAAACACATACGTCCAAAAATGTATATCGAGACATTCGTGTTTATAACGTTCAAATAATTTAGCAATAGAGTTTTCTTTCGCGAGCTGTACCACGTCATATGATTACGTCAGCAATAATGATTATAATATGATTACGCAATAATAACAAACGCTGTTTACAGCCTCCAGTCTTGCATATTTTTTTTTCAACAGATATTTTGACGAAGGTTTACATATGGGTAGTCCAGCTTACGGCGGGAAACCATGTCACATAGCAACAGACCAGAACGAGGTGATGCTGAAAAGTCATTATGCGACGGCTAATGGTGGGCACTTCAAGTGGAGCGACAGCCATTCTCAGTACGGATTTTTGAGATCGGAACTCCAAGTCGTGAACAATAAAATCGCTATCTGGGTTAGATGATCGATATATGTATCCTGGCAGGGGCGGTTTCAAGAGGTTATTTACATTACAGGGTATTATATTGACAAACTTTGTCATTTTTTGAAGAAATATTGTGAATTGTGAGCATAAATACTGAAATATGTTTTGTTTTGTTTTATTTTATTACGCAAATTTTCGACTTTTAATAACCTTATTTGAATATTTATTTATCGTGAGTTATGTCATGGTTAAGCAATCTGTAGTTGAACCCCTACAGTTGTCGCGCCACGCCCTGTTCGATAGGGGACCCATAGCGACGTTACAACGCATGTAATATACAGTGTTTACACAGAATACGGACGCTCGATGCGCGACGACTGTAGAGTTTTAATAAGTAAAAAGATAGAAAAAAACATTTAAAAAAATAAGATTACATTGACCAGTACCCGTGTTTAATGTCACTTTTACAAGATTTGCATGAATGGCGACGTCAAAGGAGTTCTCATTCAAGTTTTACGAAGCAAACTAGCGTACGTTTCGAGGTATTAAATTTATATTACACAATTTCCACGCTGAAATTTCGTTCACGGCCTCGCCAAACATGTGCGTTTGAATTCCTATACTCCTCTGAAATAAATTTATATATATATGTATAAATACCATCAAGAAGGACATCATCTGTAATTTTAAATCATAGGTATATTAAAGGTGCACTCGGATTTGGTATTGTTAAATTTGTTGTTATTATTGTTGTTTTTGGTTTTTCATGGTTGATTTCATGAATATAATTTCCCAGATTTCAAATTTCAGCGCGTCCGAAGGTTGGGGGCCCTTTGCAGCTGTTTGCTTTTTGTTCCGTCGAATTTCATGTTGAATTTCAATGGTGTTTCGACCATGCGGCATGAAGTGGATTCACTGAGTATAGCCCTGGTCATTTAGAAAACTTGAAGCTCCAATTATTACAGAGCTCTTGGCAGTTCCATGCGTTCGCTCCAGATGACGACTCTCATGTTTCGTGAATCCGGTTCTTGATTTGTAGTCGTCAATCGTTTCCACCAATCGGATAGCAGGATTAACAAACCAGTCCGATTCTCTGACTTTCTAAACGCTATGAGATTTATTCAGAACATGGCTGGGCCGTTTCCACTAATCATGTATCAGAATTCACGATCGCTATTCATTTGAAGAGGACGCTTAGAGCTGCCTGGAAATTTATTCTAAAAGTCGCGTTGATTACATGTCGATTTCGCTATCAGAGTCAACACCGATACTAAACGGATACACTCGATTTTGATATTGCAGCCGTGTTAGATTTCGGTTAGAAATTTGGACGCCCCTACATGGGTTTGCAGTTACTTGCGCTTGTGGCTTTATATCGGTTGCACATGTAGGGGTAATCTTGTTACATTGTTCAGGAGAGTCACAACAACTATCCCAAAGTACAGTTCTCTGAGAGTTTTCACCGTGATGGTTGCCTGGCGGAGAAAATGCCCGGATGTCCGACTCCGGGAAATTAGAATACAGTCCAATGACCAGGATTGAGTCTGGAAACTCAATATCTTTAAATTGTTTCAATTATTTGGTTCGTAATTATTAGGCCTGATTTCAATAGTTGTCATGACGTCATACTATTGCGCTGTCCATCCGCCATCCATCGTCACTGTGGAACCAGTCATCTGATTGGCGGCTTCAGAGCAAAGGAAATTTACAAAATCGCCAATCTGCGAGGAGAAAATTGCAACGTGTCTTGAGCACTTCATATTAGTCAAAATGATAAACAACCCCAATCAGAATTGTCGAAATACGCATCAATACAACCGTAAACAGTCGAGTGCACTGGTTACGCAGCATTGTATATTTATTATTCTGTCGACAGAGGGGGCGCTGTCTATACAATTTTTTAATCTAGACATACAATAAACACTCGTAAAAGAATGTATCATGAACAACAGTGTCCATTTGGCATTATGGAAGTGAAAAGTTCGAAATTATGCTTATAATAACTGAATACGTTTTACATGAACATTTGACGCTTCTTTTTGAAGTCAATTCCTTTTTTGGATTTGAGCCTAAATTGTGTTTTTTCATCAAAAAACTACTAAACTTGGCTTTGGAAATATACGACTCGTATATATTAACAAATACGAGTGAATAATATCATCTGTATAACAAATTCGATCCGTAATTACGTCACAAGCGTTTTCTACTTACATGTTTTTCTTCGACAGTTTGTCCAGATGGCTGTTTTTCACCAACAAGCTTTCGCTGTGAAAGTTGCATATCAGAGATTAATAATGTGTTGTGTATTTCATGCATTGTCATCATGTTAAGAATTTGTTTAAACACAACAGCATGTCCTGTGTAATGAGCATTGTGTGTCCGCTTGTAGATTAGCATCTTGTGATGTCATACAGTTTCTCGCGTGATTTCCTCAATTCTCGTTTCCTATTGGGGCTAAAGAAAAACGTCTTCTACAGGGAAAAAACTAACAGAATCTGTCGTAGCACTAAATACGAATAATTTACACTTATGTCTTCTACTAATGGTAAATTGGTTGTCACTCTGTATTATTCAAATTCCAGTCGTATTTTCTTTACGTAGTTATCTCTGTTTAAAACCCCCAACTAAACGACAGTAGCATTTTCAGAAGCCCCTTCTACAGCAACAACGCTAGACAAGTATATTCCACGGTGCCGATGTCGCGCCTTCAACCATTTACTAGTACGTCACCGGAAGACTTTACCGTTAGAGGGCGCAATACACAGGGTGAACTTCCTTCAGTTTCACTAATTGTGTCGTATAAATTATTAATACGTGTAGGTATAGTTGAAAACGAGATGCCATTCGCTCATATTTGTATATAAAACAAAGATCCTAAGCTCCAAATACTCGTTTGCAGAATTAATAATATGCACCAGCGATTCAGAGCGCATGCGCAGTGCCGCAGTTCGGCAAACACGCAATATCAAGCGAATGCTATCTTTCCCAATCATAGATAAGTAAACTTATTATATACCTGATGAAATGCGCCTTTATTGTGTTTTTTTATCAAATTTATAATATAATTTACCTTTGCTTCCTCTTCAGACACGCCAGTATTTTTTGCTATTGATTTCACCTGTTTCCAAAATACTGAAAATAAGACAAAACAGTATTCACGGTGCGGGTAAAAGATTAGAGGTTTCATATTTGTAACAGTTGTAAAACATAGTAAATGTCATAACTTACATTCTGTTGCCACCCATCCTGGACAGATCGCGTTGCACGTGACCCCAGTACCAGCGGTTTCTAACGCCACCACCTAGAGCAACATGAACTCAAACATACTTTATTAAATAATGCAAACAGTGCAAATGCGCATGCTCCCTAAACTAATTGTACGTATCAATAATTCATAACGCATGCGCATTTGCGTAGATCTTTAAAATCAGCGTGCTAGTTTACAACAATCTACGTTCCAGTGTGTAAAAAAACACAATAAAAAACTGTATTTGCATACTAGGTTCCCCCTTTTCAATGATATCGTTCGATGGTATTATGAGCATGTTTATTTTTTTGAAAATGTCCGTCGAAAAGCCATGCCAGTCAAAGAGTGTGAGTCTGCTTAGATTAAATAAATAGAATTTACCACAGTGAACAATTCTCGCACGGCATGACGGAGAAGAATGATAAAACAAGCAACACTTTTCAAATTGTTTGCCTCTGTACACTAAGCCATTTTCATATGTCCCATTTCTAATGGTGATGACCTTTGACATTGACTGTCCCTAACAACACAGACTAAACTCACCTTTGTAAATCCCAACACACCGTGTTTAGCCGAGACATAAGCTGATTTTTCTTTAGACGCGACTAGGCCATGAATCGATGATATATTTATTACTCTGCCCCACCCTAGTAAAATAAAATGATATTGGCACTATAAATTCATATTTCTACTATGGGTTATGTGGTACCACGTGATTTAGTTTATATTACACGTCTGCTATAAAAACGAAAGAAACAAGTCAACTAATATAGTTTTGTTTCTACCATGAGACTGTTACTTTTCATTAAGATACACTGGACAAGGAATAAATGAAAATGAAATTTTTCTACAAATTTGTTATTGTTATTTTTGTTTATTAATGAATATTTAATAAAATATGAATAATAAAAAAGAGTCTATACCTACATCGCATTTTAATCAGATTGATTAGTAGTTTTAAAAAATAGTTGTAAATTGTAAAATCGTTGGCCGCGGTAAAATAGATAATCAGCCACTTCCAGATGACAAATGCGAATTTCACAAGTAAACCACAACTAAATGAAACAACACACGGTTACAAATGCCTGTATTCATTGTATATGTACGATAAACATCTACAAAACAAAGGTACTTTAATATTAAAGCGGGAGGGTAGTCACCTGCACACGCGCGGGAATTGAGTCCCAAGCGACGATAACACACGCTAAAAACGCAAAGACTCATGGGTAGACGCTTGTTTGTAAACAATGACACAATATGGCCATCTGACGCATGTGCAAGTGACGACTTCCAAGCTTTAACGGATAACGGCTACGTGTTACTTTACGTCATCAGAACACGTGACCACGTTATTGTTTAACTCACCCTTTTGAAGCATCCCTGGTAGGAGGTGTTTAGTCAAAATAAACGGCGTCGTCAGCATAATATGAATCATGTCATTCCATTTATCGAGGGAGAAATCTTGAACGGAAGAGACGTACTGGAAACCTGTAAAAATTATGAGATTTTATCTTAGTCATGTGATCTAACATGGACACGTGACAAAATCACGTGTATCATGTATTTGCGGGGGATATGACAAAGTGACAGAGGTTTTTGTTTTCCGAGCATTGTGAAGCGCGCCGCGATAACGAATTTGTTGAAATATATATTTCTGTAAAGCGTTCAAAATGTTGACCCATACGCGGTATACATCCCTGGTAAAATGCATTGTTTCTTTTCACGAAAGTCAAAAGCGCCACCCGACAACTGTGGAGTTGTATCTTGCACTCACCGGCGTTGTTGACAAGTATGTCCACTCCCGATTTCGTGACTTTCTTAATATCTTCACACATATTTAGTACGTCATCCTCGTTTGTAAGGTCTGCGCCAAGGTAGTGCGCCCTCACGTCGTATTCATTTTCAAACTCTTGTTTTAGTTTGGCGATGTGGTGTTCCTCAGCAAATCCATTATAAAGTATGGCACATCCGTTTTTGGCAAGGGAGCGAGCGACAGCCAGTCCAATACCAGACGTAGAACCAGTCACCAGGGCGTAACGTGACATGAGTACCTTCGCTCTATATGGTTGAGTGAGAACAATTATACGTTGTTCGGTATTTTGCCTTAGATTGGAAAATGTACATATTATAATAGCTGATAAAAAAATACTAACTCATATTCGATTTTTAGGGCGTTAATATATATATTCTTCAAAATAATCGTGTTACAGTCCATTTGCGCCAGTAATGTGTATTGTACTTTGCCCCGGAAATCAAGGTATACTATTGGCAAAAGTATCACACGAGTACCTCTCAAACACCGATACATAAAGCATAATGTTAAAACGCATTTTAAATCAAGTCTTGTTACGACATAATGTACATGATTATTGCCTGTATACATGCCCCAAATTACCAACGAGTTTTAAAATGGTACACAGGTTCGTACAAATGAACAATAAATGACTTGTTTCGATAATACATAATTATCAACACGTCGCGCCCTCTAGCGTCAAAACGTTTATGTGACGTAGAATGGCGTAGTTGAATGAAAACATTGTTGTCCGTGTTCGTGTGTGTAGTTATTCCTCATTAAGAGAATATAAATCTATCAACAATTCTTCATTTTGTGTTGACAAATGTTTTCGGATTGAACCAGTATAGCCGCAGTGAATGGCTTTGCTTTAACCTGTTACGTCACGTTGTAGTTCGTCGCTAGAGGGGCGATGTGTAGAAAAGGTGAAATTGATCGATGGTGGAAATCACAATGCAATCCATTATTTCTAAATATTTTTCAAATGAAACACAACACTGTGTTAAGCACTCTTAATTAGACAGAGCTGAGTCATGAATCACTTAGCATACATGCTTGGTGTACAGTTGATTATAGTTTTGGGCTCTCTTTGGTAAAATGTCACGAATTCAGTGCTATGCCAAGCACGGTCTCAACTCCACTCGGAGCCCACATCCACCCAATATGTTGGGCACTACTTCGAGATAGGGATGACCAGCATTTGCAAAACAACTTTTAACAATATAACAGTGGTACTCACCTACCTGTAGTTTGAAAAAAAAAAACGTAATCGCGTCAGTGTTAACGCCGGGCGACCTTTAGCCCGGCGAAAAGTTTGATAGTAGACTTCGTTTACTCTATGATTATTTTCTAGCGTCACAGCTAAAGGTCAGTGTAATATCACGTGACAATTGATTAAAGTTTACCAAGTCATTCTGTTGGTACATATATCACTATACCGATACGTGTATATATTGTTTAAACAGTGCCTATTGTTGCGTTACAATTGGTCGGTAGTATGGACCCAGTGCGTTACGTGCACCTGTGACGCGTTAAACCGAAAAATACGTATGAACACAAATTCTATTAATTGGGAGAGCTGGTAACGGGGACGAGTTCTTCTTGTCATTTATTATATTATATATCAGCATAATATATTTATCGTTTTCCCTTTTGTTTTCGTTATTATTACATGTCACGAATATGACATAAAATGTCACTTAAAGCGGGAATTGAGTCCCAATCGACGATAACACACGCTAAAACGCAAAGGCTCATGAGTAGACACTTGTTTGTAAACAATGACACGCTATGACAATCTGGCGCATGCGCAAGTGACGACTCCCCCCGCTTTAAATATGATTTCCGAACGATAATACAACATATGTAACACATTGTTTACGCAACGTTGTTCAAAATACCATATTGTGTCACGTGTGAGAATTTGTACAATCTATTATGCAATATGCAATTCTCTTTTTCTACATGAAAAACAATCCCACATGAAACTTCGCTGGGTGAATTTCTGAAGAATTTCTGAAGTAGTCATGTGCACTTCGACCAACCTTTCGGTTTGTTCACAGTATTTAGTAATACAACTTTCCAGGTCAATGAAGGTTTAAACATTTGAACTCTTATGTAACTGGGAGGTTTTGCCAATATTTTATTCACATTTCCCAAATTATTTTACGATATCGGACACCTTCCAAACTTTTTACTGAAAGTCACGTTGATTATATGTCAATTTTGCCATCGGAATTAACACCGAACTGAAAACAACAATATCAGTGACGAAATCGATAGTAATACACTCGAATTTGATATTTCAGCCATGTTAGATTTCGTTTAGAACATGGAATTGTGACCATGTAAAATCGCCTTTCATGTCCTAATCTTCACAAAGATTATCACGCATCGTATCGTTGGGGGGGGGTATCCGAAAGCAAGGGTTAAGACTAATTAGTGCACGAGTAATGATGTTTGCCGCATGATAATGTGATACAACTTGAATTACAATTGTTTTTGGTGGATAAAATATAATACTCACTGGAAAATAATCAATTTCAAAGTATCGGACCAAGGTGGCATTTTCCCAATATGATTAATATTATCCTCATTTTCAGAATTTGTAATATCGCACTTTTATAAGATGAGTTTCGGGCTCCTGTGCTGTTCAGCTACTTCAAGCGATAATGGTCGAATCGACGTATTTTGGTCAGAAGAAATGGGCAGTATTAGGCAGATATTTTACTACACCAGTTTCAGTTTATTCAATGTATTCAACTTGTGAAAAACTGAAGCAAACGAACTCACAGGCGACATGACTGGTTGTAAAATCGACCCTTTTCTGTCACAAACGCGCTCGGTAACTGAGCAGCCAGAGAACATGCCACGGCGCACGAAACTCGACTATTAGGATACAGTCCAATGAACATGATTGAGTCTGAAAACTTAATATCTTTGAAATTATTTTAATTATTAATCCGGTTCGTCATTATTATGCATTGATTCAATAGTTGCTGTCATCTACGTAGACCTCATGACGTCATACTATTGCGCTGTCCATCCGCCATCCATCGTCACTGTGGAACCAGTCATCTGATTGGCGGCTTCAGAGCAAAGGAAATTCACAACATCGCCAATCTGCGAGGAGAAAATTGCAACGTGTCTTGAGCACTTCATATTAGTCGCTAATCAACTCGCCAATTTCAATCGCCGAAATACGCACCAAAACAACCGTAAAACCCGGCAAAAGCACAGTCGAGTGCAACTCTGATTACGTAATATTATAGGACACACTATCAAAAGAAAATATCTATACGATCCTTGTATATTTATTTAACCTAGTCTTATAATAGAAACACTCATAGAAAAAGATGTATTTTCATGAATCTATGCCACTGTGTACGACAGTGTTCATTTGGTTTCGGGAATGTGCGACTCGTAGTAACAAATACGAGTGAATAATATCAGCTGAATACTAGTAACAAATTCGATCCGTAATTACGTCACAAGCGTTTTCTACTTACATGTTCTTTTTGGACGTCTTGTCCAGATGGCTGTTTTTCACCAGCAAATTTTCGCTGTGAAAATTACATATCAGAGATTAATAATGTGTTGTGTATTTCATGCATTGTCCTATATTATGAGCATTGTTTGTCCGCTTGTAGATTAGTAGTAATTCCGTTGTATAACTTACTAGTATGTGTAGCTGTAGTTGAAAACGAGAGTGTAGACAAAACCAATGACTCACTACATGACTCTAGTTACGAATTACGCGGTATTTGTTGTAATGATGTACAGGTATTGACATTTGTTATCCTGCTCCGTAATCTACAGAGGCTGTAGAAGTCTAGAATACCCTACCTGAATCCCTTGGCACCTTTAAAATATTCAAATTATGCTCTTGGCAATTTCAATCAGTCTAAGGGATTTAAACTTGAAATTGAAATAATAATGTTGGGAGTTCAAGTCTTGTGTACAAGAAAAGTCCGAAACTACTTTTATAGTACGAGAGCGTATACACTACAGGGTAAAATGTGGTTTGTGGTTGTGTTCTTCATCACACTGTACTGGGCACTGAAGTCATGCTCAGACGCTCGCGCCAACAAGTGGGAGCAAACCGCGTTACCGTAAGAGCCGTTACGCCACGGGCCTCTTTTTGTATATTTACCAAATACTCGTTTGCAGAATTAATAGTTCACACCAGCGAGTCAGATCGCATGCGCAGTACTGCAGTTCAAATATCAACAAACACGCAATATCGGACAGATGTTAACTTTCCCAATCAGAAATATGTAGTAGATACAAAAATATGCGTCTTATTTTTATTATTTTTTTTAATCAAATTTACATATTTATAATATAATTTACCGTTGCTTCCTCTACAGATACGCCAGTATTTTCTGCTATTGTTTTGACCTGTTTCCAAAATACTGAAAAAAAATCAAACCAGTATTCACGGTGCGGGTAAAAGATTGGTAGTATAATAGAAATATATGTCGAACTGTAAAACATAGTAAATGTCATAACATACATTCTGTTGCCACCCATCCTGGACAGATCGCGTTGCATGTGACCCCAGTACCAGCGGTTTCTAACGCCACCACCTAGAGCAACATGAACTCAAACATACTTTATTAAATAATGCAAACAGTGCAAATGCGCGTGCTCCCTAAACTAATTGTTGTACGTATCAATAATTCATAACGCATGCGCATTTGCGTATATCATTAAACCGCAAAATCAGCATGCTAGTTTACGACAATCTACGTGCCAGTGAGTAAAAAAAAAAGCAAAAAACAATAAAAACTGTGATTGCGTAGGTTTCTCCATTCAAAGGTATCGTTCGACGGTATTATGTACATGAAAATGTCCGTCGAACAGCCATGCCAGTCACGGAGTGTGAGTCTGCTTAAATTAAATAAATATAATTTACCACAGTGAACGATTTTGCACGGAATGACGAAGAAGAATGACACTGTATATTAAGCCATTTTATATGTCGCATTTCTAATGGTGATGACCGTTGACATTGACTGTCCCCAACAATACAGAATAAACTCACCTTTGTTAATCCAAGCACTCCGTGTTTAGCCGAGACATATGCTGATTTTTCTTTAGAAGCGACTAGGCCATGAACCGATGATATATTTATTACTCTGCCCCACCCTAGTAAAATGAAACAATATTGTAAATTTCATATCTCCACTTTACGAATATTACAACCCTATTATAATTCAGTCAATATTTAATAACACATTAACTTAATTCTCAGAGGGAGGGAAATAGTTAAACAATATAAAACAAAAATTAGAAAAAAAAAGTGAAAAACAAACGAAAAAAAAATAAAAATAAAGAGAAACAAACTTGACTGAAGGAAACAAAACTACAAGAGGTTTGGCTGTCTTTTTCCCATGCGCTTACAGAGCTACTGTGCTGCATGGGAAAATAATGTGTTAGGATTAAGAAGAACTCCACTGGACACTGAATATGCCTTTTGTGCTCCTGTAACATGTGTTAACCCTGTTTTTAAAACTTTAAATAGAATTTACCGCATAATACATTAACTGTGAAAGCATCATTAGGTAAGTCGTTGCTGGAGTTTTGGATCGGATTATGAAATTTGAATAACTGTTGACTGATTGTGACGGATATAGCCAGTTTTAACAAAAGTCCGATTTCTAAAACAGTGTGAATATGCATAATTATAGAAAGGTCAATGGGTTATGTGATACCACGTGTTTAGTTCATAATATGGAGAGAAAAAAGAAATTAGTCAACTAGTATGATTTTGTTTCTATCATGATGAGACTCATTATTTTATTGAAGATACTGCTGGCGTCACGTAGTGGTAGAGAACTTGAACTTCAGACTCGATTCTTAGCAAATAGTACATTTAAAATTTAGTAAATTATAAAATCGTTGGCCGCGGTAAAATACATAATGAGCCATTTCCAGACGACAAATGCGAAAGTAAATCGTTACTAAGTGAAAAAAACACAAATATGCACATGCCTGTATGCATTGTATATGTAAGATAAAAGTGCTTCAATGTTAGTGAATTAAGGTTACGTGTTACTTTACGTCATCAGAACACGTGACCACGATATTGTTTAACTCACCCTTTTGAAGCATCCCTGGTAGGAGGTGTTTGGTCAAAATAAACGGTGTCGTCAACATAATATGAATCATGTCATTCCATTTATCGAGGGAAAACTCTTGAACGGGAGAAACGTACTGAAAACCTATAAAAATTATGAGAATTAATCTTAGTCATGTGATCAAACTTTGGCCCAAACACTAATTAGACACAAGACATGGCGGAATCCGAGCCCCACGTGTATTACGCATTCATGTAATGACTGGTTGGAGGGGGGGTGTCTGAGTGACACCGATTTCCGTTTCTCAAGCATTATGTAGCTTGCCACAAATTGCGTATACGCGAATTATACATCTAATGTCAAATGCGTTATTTGTTTACACGGAATTCGCCTGAAGACTGTCTTGCACTCACCGGCGTTGTTGACAAGTATGTCCACTCCCGATTTCGTGACTTTCTTAATATCTTCACACATATTTAGTACATCATCCTCATTTGTAAGGTCGGCGCCAAGGTAGTGCGCCCTCACGTCGTATTTATTTTCAAACTCATGTTTTAGTTTGGCAATGTGGCTTTCCTCAGCAAATCCATTAAAAAGTATGGCACACCCGTTTCTGGCAAGGGAGCGAGCGATAGCCAGTCCAATACCAGACGTGGAACCAGTCACCAGGGCGTAGCGTGACATGAGTACCTTCGCTCTATATGGTTGGGAATAATAATATGTACACAATGCAGCCTAATGTGAACAATTATACGTTCTTCGGTATTTTGCCTTAGATTGGAAAATGTACATATTATAATAACCGATAAAAAGATACTAAATCGTAAAGTTTTAAAATTTTTAGGGCGTTTATATTTATTTTCCAAAATTATCGTGTTACAACCCATTTGCGCCAGTAGTTTCTCCAGACCCGTACCTTGCTCCGGAAACCTCGGGGGCGGACATCCGGGCATTTTCTACCGCCTGGCAACCCTGGTTGAGAGTCCCCTGAACAGTGTAACAAGATTAGCCCTACGTGTGTAACATATATGAATTTGGTTGTTCAGGATTACTTCAAAGTTGAGTTTGTGTTGTTTTCTCGAGTTTTCACCGGCTCCACCGGCGTTCCACAGCAGCGCGCACAAAGCCCATAGAAATACGTGGTACAGTGGTGCGCGTCTTAGCAACGTAGAACGTCCGTGACGTAGCTCCGCCCCGAAGGATACTGTTGGCAAAAGTATCACACAAGTACCACTCAATTACCGATACATAAAATTATCCCGATCAATGTTAAAACATATTTGAAATCGAGACTAATTACAATATAATATACATCGATCAAAGTATACACACAAGACAGAATGATGAATAATCTAGTTCTCTTCCACATACTAGTACGAGTAATTTCCGTGATTCGCGCCCTCTATCGACGAGACGTTCATGTGACGTAGAATGGCGTAGTTGTATGAAAACAACGTTGTTCATAGGGACAACTGTGTTTGGTTGTGAGATTGTTTTTTATTTAGAAAATAGAAATATAGATCAGAGACGGTTTCGGATCAAAACAACATAGACGCAGTGAATGGCTTTGCTTTCAACAGTTACGTCACGTAGTAGTTCGTCGCTAGAATGAGACATGAAGAAAAATTCATGGCGCAAGCTGAAATTGATCGATGGTAAAAATCACGATGCAATCCATCATTTTCTATAAGTATATTTTTCTAATGGAACACAAAACTATGCTGAGCACTCTTAATTAGCCAGAGCTGAGTCATGAATCACTTAGCATACAGGCTCGGTGTACAATTGATTATAGTTTTTGGGCTCTCTTTGGTAAAATGTCACGAATTCAGTGCTATGCCAAGCACGATCTCAACTCCACCCGGAGCCCACATCCGCCCATTATGTTGAGCACTACTTCGAGATAGGGATGACCAGCATTTACAAAACAACTTTTAACAATATAGCAGTGGTACTCACCTACCTGTAGTTTGAAAAAAAAACTGCAATTGACAAAGAGTTAATATTTGATTTTCAAGGTCAGTACAATATTACGTGCTAAAGTTTACCAAGTCATTCTGCTTATGCATATATCACAAATTACATCGATATATATTGTTTAAACAGTGTCTATTGCAGCGTTACAGTCGGTCGGTAGTATGGACCCAAACCTCAGTGTGTCACGTACACCTGTGACGTGTTAAACCGAAGAATACGTATGAACACACATTCTATTCATTTGGATCATTTTTTATAAATATTTAGTGCATGCGTCACGTGCTCGCGCATGCGCAGTGTACCACTTTTCACTGACTTTTGTTAAAAATGTAAAATATTGGGACAAATTTATTTCTTCAGCGGAAATAAACAGCAGACTAACATGATTGTATTTACCAATTCAACATTGCTTTATATTAAATAACGGAGTTTTGTTAACAACTCCTCTGGTCAATATATAAAAAATAGTTTCGAATCTTTTGATGTCAGATGTATTTTCAATGTTAATCTCTTATCTTATTTATGTTGGTATTGTTATTAATTATAGACCGTCCACATAGATTATTGATCAATATACACACGATTAAACAGTTTTTAATATACACGTCTCATTTTTGTTGTAAGCGTCTAGGGCCACTTCCGGTGAGGTGCACCAAATAAAAAAAAACAAAGTATTTTTCGAATTATTCTGATGAGGGCGCCAACAACTCCCACAGTTCATTTACCAAAATGGCGTCCAGATGAATAATCTCTATCCCTTCTTATTGATATGACGTGAGTTATTGACGCATTAGGCTTCAATTATCAAATTACCGTGGTCGTATTTATTTCAGAATGCAAGAATAATAACAGGAGCAATGTCAAATGAACGACTGAGACTCAAGGATAGAATTTTGGATCGGATAGCCAAGGCTATCAAGGAGGTATGTTTATTATTCGGGTTTCTGTCGCTGTGACCGCGACCGGATATCCAGTCTTTGTTGTTTCTTCAGAATACGCCTCTGATTTATATCCTGTCACTCGATGTCTTGTTTTCAGTATATGGTGATCTAGACTACTAGTATGTGCCTTAAAAATATCGCTGTATCGAAAAATGTTATGATTTAAGATGCGGTAGCGCCTTATTCTGTATGACTCACAAGTGTTCATTTGGTTAGGTCATCTTATTAACAAATATGCCCGCATATTATTTGTATTGTAACAAATAATGCGAAAAAATGACCTGTCTCCTGGGTTTAGTATTGAATAATTGTTATTGTTTTGGACAAATTATCCTTGAATCATGTGACCACCCTTTGTTATGTGTGTTCATACCTTTCACGCATTACATAGGGGTTCCCATTTGATTTGAAAACTGTAATTGTAGTGAATGAAGAAAAAAAAGTTACTTGAGAAATGTGTGAAAAAAATATTTGCAAAATCAACCAAAATGTTTCTGTCCCTAGATTTTGAATGGATAACTCCCTTGATCAGACATGTACATAGTTGTGTAATACATGAGCGTATACAGTGTACAGTGATCCTCTTTTCATCTCCTTGTTTTAACGACTAGGCTTGCCAGTGAACACAATAACTCATAAGGCACTCCAGTATTGCCTAGCTACAATTTACAAAACATTTTTATTCTACTACCCGGTAATTAAATCTAGACACAAGTAACATTTCGTTTAATGAGTGGAAGATTGCATACTAGTACATTAGATGTTTAGAGTACTGCAGTCAGCACTTTACTGTAAGCATTCATTTGGTTCAAACCCCGATTGTGTTATTCTATTAATTTTTCCCAATTTATCAAGTTACAATCACTCTGATTTATCTTAGATTGCAGTTATGTAATGATTTATTTGTTGACTCCCGTGTGCGAAGCACAAAAGGGAGTCTTTGCAGTTACCCTGTCTGTATGTCTGTATGTATGTATGTATGTATGTCACTTTTTTTGTTCCACCGTTATCTCAAGAACCACTAATCAAATTTTGGTGAAACTTGGTAAATAGATACTCTGGGATAATGCGCAGAGTTGATTAGGTTTTGGTAAAAATGTATGAATATTAATTACCTAATTTGCATGATAATTAGCTGATTTTTAGCTGTTTCAAGACTGTTCCACTGATATCTGAAGAACCATTAATTGGATTTTGATGAAATTTGGCACATGGATGCTCTGAACTAGTGCGCAGATTTGATTAGTTTTGGGTAAAAATCTATGAATATTAATTATCTAATTTGCATGATAATTAACTGATTTTAAGCTGTTCTATGACAGTTCCACTGATTTTTGAAGAACCACTCATTGGATTTCAATGAAACTTGGCACATGGATGCTCTGAACTAATGCGCAGATTTGATTAGTTTTGGGTAAAAATCTGTTAATATTATTAATTACCTAATTTACATAATGATTAATCAATTTTCGGTTTTTCCAGTGATATCTCAAGTACTAATCATAACATTTCAATAAAACTTGGTACATAGGTGTCATATGACA